TTTTCCTCGTAACTTGGCTGAAATATATGCATTTTAATTTTGATATTAAATTACTCATACTTTTTTTTTTTTGTATTTTGTAGTTTTAAGACAATGAGGGAGATATAACTCCTAATTCCCCCCACACCACTGTATAGTATATACCCGCAGTTGGATTCATTTGTAAGGGAGGAGATATATAGGAATGCACCACCTGCGAAAAATGTCTGCGCATACCCGTGTACAGTGTATGCATATTAAAGTCGGGTGGTAATACGTGCCTGTTTTCATTCTAGAGATCCTAGTTTTGAACCGGATTCCTCATAATTTTTTTTGCACTTTTTTTTCAAACATTTTAGATATTTTAATATGTGAAAAAACTGTCCTACGATAATAGGGACTGGTGCAACTACTGTTAAATGCAGTTTAATGTATACCTGTAAGCAACGATAAACTACTGCTAACGAAAACACGATTCTGAATGAAGTTTAGTTGAAAATATATAAGAAATGTAGGTATTGATGAAAACATATTATGACCTTCTTTTTTCTTGTGAAAAACATTTTTACCAGTAATTTCGCTCCAACTTTTAATGAAAGCAACATTTTTAGAAGAAAATTCCATTGGCGTGGTACTTTAATGAGGTAAATTTTCGATTTTGCCAATAGTTTTCCCAGCAAATATGAAAAATGGGGTAAAAAAGGTAGGAAAATTTGATAAATAACATCAAACGGAATTTTTCTATTTTTGTCTATTTTCAGTCGCGTTCCTCTCCGCCCCTTTAGTTTCGTATTATAGAAACACTACCGCGGTGAAATTTCTATCGACCGCTCCATTCCCGCGACCGTTATACGAATGTTTTACCGTACAATGGAACAGAAAAAATAGATACTAAAAACATTACACACGTGCAATTGCGAAATTCGAGCGAAAAACCGGCAGGGGCAGGTGGCTGAGAGTCAAAACGCCCCGAAAGGCCACGCGAACGTCGCGCGTCAAACACAGCGCAACGTCGACCTTTTCGAAAGTAAAAACGCGGATAACAATACGAGTTGACTCGGCTGTTCGCTGTCGCGTCAAACGTCCGAATCGACTTTCGATATCCGCGTCAACCCGTGTCGCATTGTGTTCGCCGATCGGCCGTCGACTCCCGGTAGATTGACCGAGTTAACGTCCGTTATTATGATATCCGAACGCCGCGCACCCGTTGCGAGTTTAATCCCCGCGCGCCGACATTGCGTTATAATAACACGCCGCCAGTCGCGGCCCGGGCACGGTCGTCATCAGGGTTGCCGTCGCGGCCGTTGCGGGTCACCGCGAAACGAAACGCGATCGAAACACTTCGGGCCCGTTTAGCGACGAACGGCAACGGCAACGGCGCGACGCGGGCGCGGGAGAACCGCCGCGGCCGGGATCCGATTCTCGCGGGACGGTTGTCGTAATGTTTGCGGCCGACGGACGGCTATAACGCGACGGCAGACGCCGGTCGATTGTCGCGGCCGCCCGTCGCCGTCGCGCCGCGTTGCCGCCGCCGCGTAGACGCGTAGAACGTCGTCGCAGCCGTTCACGTGTGGTCGCCGTCGCGTTCGTATCAACCATTGTGTTACCGCCGTTATCCGTTGTTATCGTTGTTGTTGTACGACAATACGCGACCACTGTCGGCCGATCGGACTTGCGCAAACGGCATTTTATGCCGTACAATGTGTAGAATGCGTTTAATAAAAAAAAAAAAAAAAAAAAAAAAATAATAATAATAATAATACTGCAGCCACACACGAAGCGGTTCCGAATAGAATAATAATATTATTACGTTTTGTCGCCGTCCGTCGGGAAAAAAAANTTAAAAAAAAAAAAAAAAAAAAAAAAAAAAAAACGACCGACGACGTCGACGGTCTCCTCCTGTTCCTACTTAATATTATTACACTGTTACACGCGACGCACGTAAAAATATTACAAAAAAAAAAAAAATAATAATAATAATAATACTGCAGCCACACACGAAGCGGTTCCGAATAGAATAATAATATTATTACGTTTTGTCGCCGTCCGTCGGGAAAAAAAAAAATAATAATAAGGAAACGGTCGGGTCGTCGCGATGAGACGACGATACCGTAAAATGTTACGTAAGAAACCGCTGTCACGGGTGTCGGTTATTAGGTCCGTTGTAATACGGAGCGATCGTTTCGTCGCGAACCGGCGATTATCGTCCGAAAAGGTGTACGCGTGTTTTCATATATTATCTCTGGTCCCGGGCAGGACGGGGTTAAATCGATCTTTGGCATTTTTGTTTCTAATTTCGTTTTGTATGCAATTTGCCTCGATTTTTTTTTTTTGTTTTTCGGTCTACAAATGGCGCAGGCGTATGCAAACTGTAACACGCGTTGTGCCGAAAATTCAAATATACCGCTAATGACTACGATGCGCTTATTTGTTCGGCAAAAAAGGCTTTGGTCATACATAATTTATGTGACTCGAGCCGTTTAGAACGCCTGCGTATTTAGGTTCGGCCGTTAAGTAATTCGGCTACTTACAAGCAATTTTCAACAACGAATTTGCTTAATTAACCGAACAAAGACTGAACAATGATTTCGACAATAGGTTTTTATTATGGTTTTTTAGACGGTGTAATAATATTAGGTACTGTACTGAATCGTTTATTTGAAAAACCAAAATGTCTATAGAGGATTATTATCTTTTCGAATAGCCTGTACCGAGGATTGATCCGCTCGTCGTAGACTAGATGATACGGTGTCAACCTTTGTCCGTATATATACTAGCGGAGACCTTTATTTTGGCACGACGCAGGGTAAAGGGCAGATTATAAGTTGTTTCTGGGTTATTTTTGGTTTTGCATTGGTTTAGTTTTTTGCACTCGATGAACTATTCGTAATAACGATATTGAAAAAGAAAGGTGAAATAATGGGGACGGGTGCAGCCACTGGTCTGGGTGGGAAGTTAGGAAGGTTGGATACAGACGGGAATTAAATTTACATCTGTAAGCAACAATAAGCCATTACTATCGAAAAAACGATTCTGAGCGGAGGTGATTGATAGTGATGCTTTGTCTACAATTTATTATATGCCATATTATAGTAAAATAATTAAGTAGGTTCTATGTATCTTTTTCTTTTTTTTTTAATAATATTTGTTTGATGTTGTGCCGATTTCCCCGGTATTCCTACGTTTTTCCCGGTTTTCCTATGTTTTTCCCCAGTTTTTCACGTTTTCTGAGATAACTCCGGGGGAAGAAATCGACAAAATGACCGGTTTAACGTGCCTCCTCACACCGATTTTCTTTCAGAAAAGTCGCTACACGTAAAAATTGGATCAAATCTTCTAGTAGACAAAGTTGTCCACAGAAAAAAAGATAATAAACATCTTTGTAAAACCATAAACTTCTACGCTCCACGCAGAATCTAAAATAGAGTGAACGGATCTACGATCACACTTAATGATAAGAATCATTACCTGCGCGTTATTTTCGTTATTTTTTTCGGTATTTTAAGAGTTACCGAAAAAACCGATTTTAATACGTTGCAAGACCGAGACAGCTATACACGCACATGATATCACGACCTCTTCTTAAATACGGACGGTAACGCGTCCTCTTAAGCCCGGATAACCCGATAAAATAAACACCCTGTACAATATACACAGTAATAATATTACGATGGGGTTTGACAGATAAAATCGTTTCCGTTTCGTGTACACGGCTTAATTACGTCGAGTTTTTGTTTTGTTTTTTTTTCATGTTTTTTGTGACTATATATATTATTATAGTCCCCCGAACCCATGCGTTATAAAATATGTCTCGTTGTGCGTGTGACGACGATGACGAGACGTGTATTATTATACTCACACGCGGTCAGGAAAATATACGATTTAATCTATGATTATCATTTTACAACCGTATATATGTATAAAACAATAATATAATTATTTTAATAATAATACCATCGAGCAACGTGCGTGTGTGTGTGTGTGTGTGTGTGTGTGTGTGCGCGCGCGCGAGTGTTTTTTTTTTTATTATTTTATCACGTTTCGGCCTTTTGACTTTTTATCGAAACTCCGGAAACATCGGTGGCGGTGACAGTAACTAATTGGTTATTCGCATGCGTTCAATATAATGTGATATTAAAATTACAACTGCAGTTTTCGGGGTACGGCCGTAAAAAACGCGCACCCGGTGACGATTTTAATTTGCCAAATTATAGTTTCAAACACTATCTATACCTCGTCTACCGTAATATCGGCAACGGCCTTATAACTGTTGTGCGACGCAAAACCAATGACACGAAATAATCCACGTGTTCGCACGTCGAAATGCCAATCCGGTGTATTGCTCAGCAGTATTGATAAGGTGTATACGAACACTTTTACTGTCATTTATAGTTGGAACATTTTGGTCAATACTATAATATTAAAAATGGCCCATTAGAAAATGTTTTTCATACTTTTAAAGACGCGGATTTTTCAACTGGTGGCACTTTGTTTGAAACGTTCATTTACATTTTCCGCAATTCGAAATATAACAAATCCTACTACTCCGCTCATAATGTTTTTATTAGATCATACCATTAGATCACGAAAAATGTTTAATATGTATATAATGTATAATATCAGAACTTCAAAAGCTTATAATTTCGAAACTTAGTCAGTCCGTTTTATTCTGACTTCACCATAGTTCTTAAATCGGCATTATGCATATGTTAAAAAAAAAAAAAAATTAAAAATAGATTTGTTCTACCTAATTTTTTACTCTTAATTAACATCTTGTTAAATTTTTAAGCATTTATGTTCAAGTCTAACAATTTTAACACAGAATACCTATCGAATAAAAATTACGTACAAAACTCGCAAAATTAAAATGTCTATAAATAGTTCGAAAATGGCTTAAATTTATCGAATATTTTATCAGGTTTAAAAAAAAACAAATATAAATTTTCAGTCTTCTAATAAATAAAAAAAATTTAAAAATAATAAAAGCATTATTTTCATATATTTTCCGTTTTTCTTACGTTTTATTCTGGGTTTTTTCCAGATGTTATGAAAACTGAGCAGCGGCGTACGCACTTTCGAAACATTTTCGTCTTGAACAGCTGTTGATTGCCTTTCATTTTGTTCATCGTCACCCAAAGACCCTTGACCGTTTTTAAATCGCTTCCGCCACGTATAAGTTGTACGAGACGTAGCTTCATTGCCGAATGCTTGTTGTATTGTATAATAAGTTTCTGTAAACCATGTTTGAAGGCGAACGCAAATTTGTAATGCGCTTCTTTGTTCCACGATTCCCCGTGTTGCGAGCTCGTACAAAGTACCCCGAACACACCGTACACTGCCAAACGTAACTCGAAACTTGAAGAAACCAAATGTGCTGATTTTGTATACACATATTCGTTAGACTTTGTACTGCTTGATGCTTTGGTTACGTATGATAGACAACGCTATTTATAAACCATAGATAAATTTAATTCGCGAACTTTTCAGACGTACTGTGTATAATACCAGATCCCTCCATTCCATTAACGAGCTTCAGATCCACCGCCGATTCGCCGGTACGTAATATAGTTTTCGTTCCATTCCGCGTATCTATTTATGTTGAATGCAGTAAATTATTCAACGAATTACGAATCTGAAAATAAATTGCGAATTAAGAATATTCACTTATATTACAATATAAACGATATCACTACTATAGTTTGGATATTTTTTACACATTAAAAAAAACTCTCAATTCTACCGTGAAAACTAATACTTCGTTCGGAATATTACGAAATACAAAACTCGTCTGTTCGTTTTATATATTGTACAAAAATAAATAACAATTTGTTTATAAACGTAATTATTGCGTAAAATCGTTTTGGATTTCCGATTTTTCATCATTTTTTGTTCGTTTCATATACGGTAAAACCTATTATGATAAAAACCGAATCGACATAATACGCATATATGGATATTGAATACGCGATGATGAAGGATTTTTCATTCGATTAATGCACGATACGAAATAATTAATGTTGTAATGTTTAAACGGAGAAAAAAAAAGCCAGTTTTTATTTTGTTTAGTTAACCACAAAAACACTACAGCTATGCCATAAACAATAAAACAATTGGAAAACAAATAGGCTCTCAGAGTTGGCCGACGGTCAAAATATTATGTAATATTTGTTCAACCTAAAACAATATACCGACTAATAAAAATCGCCTGTGCAATCGTAATATTAAACCGAAATTCAAAACCCGAAAATCAAAGAGCAAAATTTAAAAGAGGTAAGGTAATGGAGGACGGGTGTAGCCACTGATATACGAGGTGGGAAGTTGGAAATGTATTGATTAAACCGTTGCTTACGAAAAAGTGATTCTGAGCGGAGTTCAGTTGATAGTGATGCTTTGTCTACAATATATATATATATGTTATTTTAGTGTAAAAAAATTAAATAGGTTTTATAAAATTTGTATCGTAAAATTTGTTCAATGTTGTATTTTCAGTTTAATGTTTAGGCCAAAGTTTATTGGTGTCCTACAGAGACATACCTCTTGACGGGACTAAAAAGAATTACCGTTACATATAAATATGACCGTTTTTTGGAGGTGACTGGCGTTAATGGAAGTTTTACTGTAGTAAGGAATCCATAACATGCAGATTTGTGGGCTTTTATTTTTACCAGAATCGGAATGCTGATAAACCGAATCGACGCATCTCCACGTCATAATTATTATCATACCGTCGTTTACACGGCAACAGTGCGTATCTCGGTTTTTGCGGTTTTACAGGTCAAAAACGCATTGGTTTTACTAATCTAAACACGGATAATGTTATTTAATTGATATACGGTAAAAATTCCGTATAACGGTCACCGAAAGGACCGCGATTAATGGCCGATATTTAGAGGTGTCCTATAGAGGCAACAAACTTGACGGGACCGAAAAAAACGGCCGTTACATCTGAGCGTTAACGGAAGTTTCACTGTATTATTATTTCGTGTTTTGTACAGGGTGAAACGCGAGGTTTCGACGCGAGTGGCACGAGTGTTGTTTTCGTATAATTGACGGCGCGGGTCAAACGAAAAGAGATAACGGAACAAACGATATTTTCGGAAACTCGTGTTTTTTAATAATTCGTACCGATGATGATCCAATTTTATCGAAATACGCCGAGACACTCGCCGTTGCGGTAGTGTACACGACGATATTAACAATATAGACGTGTAGTTTCACGTTCGTATTATCAGGCACGTATACGGGGGGCCGGGGGGGGGTGAATCTCACCTTTTCCCCAGCCGAAAGATAAGGGGGGTGCATTTTTTTTTATAAACATTGATAATTTTATTGGTAATATTGATTATTGTAAATTTTTTATGAACCCCTTAATTTTTTTTTGTGTGTACGCGATTGCGTATTATACGCGTGTCGTATGAAATTAAATTTTTTTATTATACACGGATTTATGTATTTTTATTTTTTTTTTTTTTTTGACGAAAGACGAAAGTCCTATTACGCCGAACAGCCGCTCGCCCCTTATTATACGCGCATATTATATAAATGGCCGCGCGCACGGAAACGACGCGAACCGTCGGACAATTTTTCGAACGCTTTCGCGAAACTTTTTAACTTCCACATTATTTATGGACGTCATTTATATAGGGGCGGGGGAAAATAAAAACGCGACGGAATATGCTAACTCTTCGTTATGTATACGTATACACGGTACACGGTACGGGCGAGCTATACGTCTGCGATTCGGCGATACTTTGGTTATAACACACGCATACATATTATTATTATACTTACTCGTTTACGCACACACACACACACACACACACACACACATATATTTATTTATACGCATAAATTGTATAATTTATAACTCGTGTCCACATAAATCAACCCGGAGTGCACCGTGTAACGTATTACGATGATTATTATTATCGTAGTCGTCCTTTAATACATAATATATAATATTGTAATATTATACGTACGCGTGTACACGTGTGTGTGTGTGTGTGTGTGTGTGTGTACTTATTTGCGAAGAGAGCCGAGTCAAAAGTGTGCAATACCTGTGCGTCGTAATATTACTATTATTATCCATTATCCGTTTTGTAATGCACACCGGTCGTGTTTTGCATTTGTAGTCATTAGCAGCGTCGATTTCCGGGGGTAAAGAGGGCGACGTTATTCGACGTTAATTTTAAACGATTTTTCATCAACGACGTAAACAAACGAATCGACAATCGATATGAGTCTTATCAATACGGTACATCTCGATGACGTAATCTATAACCTAACCCCCGGAGGCTGCGGCCCGGCTGGATTCCTCATCGGTTGTGAATATTTCATTTTATCCGTTGCGATATCGCTTGAACCTTAAATGTTTGTTAATGTCAGTTGCGATAATAATACATAGTATTATGATGATACAGTACTAATAATAATGTTTAAACTGTCATCCAGTAAGGAAATTTGATTTAGTGTTGCCGTTCATTATTGAGCAATACGAATATACGTATCTGCATACTTAAATTCCGAATCAATTTTGTTGTAAATTACATACAATTTTTATTAAAATTTATTCTATATCCTAATACCGAATTAATTGTAAAGCATTTGAAAATATGCGCGAGATGTTTTTTTCTAGCCTGAAAAGTAGCTGTTTATGTCTTGTCTCCATTATTGAAATAAACTCTGTCCAATTAAGATTTTCGTACATTTTTAACGTGTTTATCATCGTTATATTTTTTTTCCGTGTGTATCATTAATGAATGAATGTCTTCTCGCATCAAACGTGCCATGCATTTTTAATTGGTTTTAAACGATTATTAATGAACGTGTATGTTTCTTACCCCTTAGCCATATACTAATTGCGCCCCTTAAAATAAAATAAAAAACTTTAATTTTTTTTTTTTTTTTTTGAATAATACTGAGATACAAACGATTATACGAAGATAATTTCGAGTACAAACGTAAAATTGATTTTTTTAATTTTTATTCAGTCGTCGTTATTGAACTTCATTATTTGTGGGTAAGGTGGCAGTGGTCATTTGACAGTTAAAACAGTTAGTACCTACTCATTTGAGGTACGAGCCAATAGCTAAAACTGTGTCCATGTCCTCCGAGGAAATCGCCGCAAGTCTAAAAGCAACTCACCCTGTACAAAGTGGACGCGGTTGATTAGTGTCGTATACGAGTACAATAATATAATAGTTGTTAACACTACGATGAAATATACTATTTTCGTCAGTATACATACGACTGCATAATATACCGTATTTTCTTGAATGCGGAATAGGATTTACCGCGCGTCCGGTTGTCGATTTTATCGTACTTTTACGTATAATATAATAATAATATCATCGTTACATTAATACAAAATATTATAATGTTATGCTTGCCGCACGACTATTTATTTCGTTTTATAGCGGACGCGAGAGTCTGTCGTATACTCGTGTAGATATACAAAGTATACCTCGCCTATGTGTGCACACCACAGGTCGTAGAACCTTATCGTGACCGTGTCGTTTATACATATACCCAACAAAAATATCAAGGTTCGTACTATATAATATGTATTTTTTTTTTTGATTATTTATAAGGCGTTTTCGAAAGTAAAATATGGATTCCCCCTCCCCATTTATTAGTGTATAGAATCGTTTGATAATATCATTATAGATTAGAATTTATTACGAATTGATAATTATATTATTGCTTTTACAAAAAACACAATTTTTTTCTTTCTCGGAAAACTATTTTTACGGTCATTAAACAATAAACTATAATTATTCCATATACTTACGATTTTGAACGAATTTAGTAACCTATAGTTTACTATGCGTAGAAAATTAAATAAGGTAAAATTCTTGATTTATATAAAGTTAATATGATATTTCTAAGTTGTTGGAGTCCTAGGTACTTATATTTTTGTGTAATAACATTAAAATGTTTGAAATATAAACATAAATATAAAATTACAATAACAGTCGATACTGTTCACGGGTAGGCCACTTCGGTAGGCGCAGGGTAGATGTAAAGGTAGGATACACTGTGTACTTTGATGTGTATACTTTATGAAAAGAGAAATCATTAGAGACGAAAAAAATAATTCAAAAATGAGTGTTAGCCAAGATAATGTAGAAAACAATAATTATCAAACAGCAAAATAAGTACTTGTGAACGAACCACTGAAAATTCAGATGAATGTTTCAAATTAAGTACCGCGTCAACCGAAAAATTCATATTTCTTAAGGTATTAAAACATGGAAAAATCGGAGTATTTTTTTAAAATACGTTTAGAAACTACCACGCAAATAAAGCAGAATTTAAGGGGGTGACGGGAAAATTAATCCCCTTGGATTTTTTTTTTTTTTTTTTTAATTTTTACCTATAGAAACACATAGATAACAAATAGGCTATCTTTAACTAATCAGTATTCCAAGATTGATTTATACAGTGAGGCGCCTTTTTTTTTTTTATCTTTTATAGGCTATAGCTTTTCATCTATTCTGATAACCGATAAATTTCTTCAGTTT